AGCCTCCCAAGTAGCTGGGACTACAGTACCTGCCACAATGCTTGGCTATTTTTTGTTGCAGTTGTTGTTGTTTAGTTGGCTGGTTTCGAACCTGCCAGCCTCAGTGTATGTGGCTGGCACTGTAACCACACGGATATGAGACCTTAGGTATCATTTTTAAGCTGGCTTTGAAATAAGAGTAGAATGTTAAAAAAAAATTACCTCACACCAGAATAGTTTGGTATTTTAAAATTCTAAAATACTTTAATAATTACTATTGATGGGAAGACTGATATACAATGCAATTATTTATTTTACAAGGAGATTCTGTACATCACGGAGCATCTTGAAGTACAATAGGCCAGGCTTTTATTTCTTCTTTACATGATTGTGAGTTTTCGTGTAAATTAGTACTTACATGGAAAGGGAACACAAAATCCATTTTTATACACATAATACAAACACCTGAATAGACTTGACCCCCAAAGTGTCTTGTTTCAAAAAGAACATTGAATGAGATGAAAGATTAACCAGATTCTTTGGTGGCACATAGAAAGCTGACCAGTAGCTCAGGGAATCAAATCCTGTTTCAGGCTTGGCACATTCAGGGTAAGAAAGGCAGTTAAAGAAGGGTCTGAAAATGTTACCACAAGCCACAGAGAATGCTGGCATAAGTCAAGTTGTCTCCTAACCGACCAGATAGAACAGTTAGAAGTGAAGTTAGCAGTTAAAGGGGGGCTATCTTATTCTAGACCTCTAAAGGAAGAATCATTAGTGGAATCATCACTTATCTTCCCTCAGTGTTAATGAACTTCAGAGATAAAGATCCAGCATTGTTTCCATAGCTATAAAACATTTGATGGTAACTGAGAAATCAAATCCCCTCTTTCCCCACACAGAGAGAAGACACTGCCATTTAAGGTCACTTTAGATTTTTTTTTTGTTTGGACTTGATATTCTGCTTCTTTAGCAAGTCTTGTATGAATGTGAAAGGAGAAAAAAATCTACTGAAATATTATGTAACAGAGAAACTCACAGGGGCCTGCACAAAAAAAAATCTGAAGAAATCCACGAAATAGCCACAATTTCTTGAACATGAAAGTAAAGGAAAAAAGCCACATTCATCAGTTAAAACTATTTTTTCTCCTACTTACAGTGTGGATGAGCATTAGAGGAAATAGGCTGTATGGTTCTCAATAAAAATTCAAAGAAAGAAACCAAATCTTTTCTTTTAGGAAAACATATTAATGTATATTACAAAAACAGAAAGAGGAGGGGGTGCTGAGCCAATGCCCAGGCACCAAATACATTGGCTACAGTTTGGAAGAGGAGAGGAGAATGAGGCAGAAGCTGCCAGAAGGGATGGGCAGGATGGGTGTTGGAGTGAAAAGGGAGTTGGCAGCAAGAGAAGCAAACAGCATAGAGAAGAGGGGGCAGTGGACCGTAGTCATGCCGCTTTCTTGCTGTTCCAAAGACCTTTGGCTATCTAGCACCCCACATCCCTTAGAATCTTGCTGTGATTCTGTTCAGAAGTGTGGGGACAGACAGCTCACAAATGCTTCCACAGAATTGCTCTACTTTACAGAGAACACGTCTATTGGTCAAAGTGATTTAGAATATCATTTGGTACAAGAAAAGTACAATAGCCTGCAAAATTTAAGCCACGAATCAGTTTTCTGTCAAATTGGCATTAATATTAAGGCTTTTTTTACTTTTTGTATATAGAAAATATACATGCTTTCTCATTTTAACCAACATAGAATCTGATTGCAGCTCAGATTGTTTAACAGACAGGAAACACGTAAGTTCCTATTACTTGAAGATCACTTTTTAATAAGCAGGATAACTTGTGAAAAAGAGGAACTTGTCAGATCCTGAGCTTCCTCTCAGGCTGAAGTGCCTGAAGAAGTCTGTCTGTATTGCTTTGTTCCAAGAGGTATAGTGCAATGCTTTCATCTGACATGCCAGTGTGGTTGGAAGGCTTTTCCTGGAGGTGGTGACCCCTTTAACAAATGGTTGGGGGCCTCCAGAAGGTTTTTCCTACTAAAAATTGGATTTGATGGCTAGAATTTAGCACCTATAGAAGTAGGTCTCACAACTAGGGCAGGACAGGTAAGGCTAATGGTGCAAACTGTGCCTCAGCACAGGCAGTCGTGATCTTGGGGAGGGGGTATGGCGCAGCCAATACAATCTACAACTTGCAAGTGGTTTGGGACTTTGGTGGCTGGTGAGGGAAAAATCCCTTGAGTATGCAGCAATATCAAAAAGTACAAAAGCACTGACAAATGTTCATTTTTGCCCCAGGGGCAGCATGGTGAGAATCCATTCCAGTGAAATGCTACATTCATAGAAGTGCTGTTCGCCCCAGAACTAGATCCTAGAGGATGCAATTCTGGCTGTGCTGGGAAGTGCTAAAGTTCACTCCATATCACTCTGGAGACAGAAGTGGCAAATCAGCCCTGTTTTTTATTTTTGGGGGAGTTGTTCATCTCTCAAATTTTGGCATCATGGACGATGGTAGCTAAAAGAGACGATCAAAAGAGACAAGTTACCAGATTATGTACACTGCTTTGTTGTTATTTTGTCAGTAGTAATGAAATGTCATATCCTAATTAAAACTGCCTCTCTTGTGGCAGTTTTAAATCTATTTGGCCTTTCTCTTGAATCTGATAACTTCTCATCCCCTTCCTTCTTGAAACTCTCTTTTCTTGACTTCTGGTAACATTATATTTTCCCTAGCTTTCTTTCTTCTTTCTTTCTTTCTTTTTTTTTTTTTTGAGACAGTTGCCCTTGGTACAGTGCTGTGGCATCATAGCTCACAGCAATCTCAAACTCTTGGGCGCAAGTGATTCTCTTGTTTTAGCCTTCTGAGTAGCTAGGACAACAGGTGACTGCCAAAACATCTGGCTATTTTTTTAGAGACAGGGTATGGCTCTTGCTCAGGCTGGTCTCCAGCTCCCAAGCTCAGGCAATTCACCTGCATCTGCCTCCCAGAGTGCTGGGATTACAGGCGTGAGCTACCATGCTGGGCCTTCTTTCTTCTTCAACTGTTCTTCCTCAGTATATTCTCCTGGTTCATTTTTCCTGTCTTCCCTTTACTGTTTTTTCTTTCTTGTAAGCTTCTCTTCTTTATTCTTTTCAAGACAGGGTATCATTCTGCTGCCCAGGCAGTCATCATAGCTCAATGCAACCTCAAACTCTTTGGGCTTGAGCAATCCTCTTGCCTAAGCCTTCCAAGTAGCTAGGGCTACAGAAGCCCACCACAATCCCTGGTTAGTTTTTCTATTTTCAGTAGAGATGAGGTCTCACTCTTGCTCAGACTGGTATTAAACTCCTAAGCTCAAGCAATCCACCTGCCTCGGCCTCCCTGAGAGCCAGGATTATAGGCATCGGCCACTGCATCTGGCTAATGTCATGTTCTTTTTTTTTTTTTTTTTTGAGA